CCAGAATTTTGATATAGTCTGCAGATTTCATTATTCTTCTTATTGCAATTAATTGTCAATTCACTCTTGAGTGCAAACAACCCCAAAACATCATCGAGCCGCCGCCATGTTTTAATTTGCCACTGTGTTCTTTGGGAGGAAAGCACCACCTTATCTTCTGTAAATCATTAAAAAATTTAAAAATGAAATATATTTCTTGCAGCTTTTATTTTAGTTTCAAGTTAATAGATTAAATGTAATATTTACAATAAGCAAAATACTTTGCTGTATTTCAAAACTAATATCAAACTAATTTAAATTGACTAAAAGTATTTTTTGCTAAAATAACTGATTAAGCGTCATTCTGAGCCGTCTTCATCAAAATATACTTTTCTGAAACTTTATTTGGGAAATATTAACTGATTTAAGATATAAATAATCTGATTTGAAACAAATATTAGTTACTTTAGAATATCACAGAAATGCATTTTTTAACACTGAGGTAGCTTTTTTTTTAAGGTGTTCACGTGGTGGCAGTTTGAATGACAGATGGATGTTTATCTAATATTATTAAGGTGTAGCTGTAAAAAATAATAGAATATAACGTGAGCTCCTTTTTTCTTATAACTTTTAAGTTCTCGGTAATCGTAAAAATTTAGGAAAATATTCTTCGTAATCTAATGTTTTATTAAATTTTATATACTTTGGCTTAAAATTTACTATAGTTATCTATATTATTTTCTGGTAATGTCTACGAAAATCGGCATGTTTATCCACATCCAAGAAAAAAATAATTCAAATTTCTTTTTAAAATTTTGGTGCTTGATGATTTGTACTAAGCTTTGCCATTTATGATGAGTAAATATAGTTTTTACTTACTAGCACTTTATCCATCGCATCCAAAGAAAAACGATAACTAAGGTTTAAAATGCATTTGTAAAATGAAACATTTTTCCCGAAGCTTTTATTTTAGTTTTAATTTCAAGCTAACAGATTAAATTAAATATTTCCAAGAACCAAAATATTTTGCTGTATTTCAAAGCTAATTTAAAAACGATTGTAATGAGTTTTTTAATTGGTAAAATTGCTAAAAATCAGCCATTTTAGCGAACACGTCATCACAACATGAGTCTCTATATTAAAAAATCTTTAAAACATAAAACATACTTTTCTGAAACTTCATTTGAATAAGATTAGCTGATTTTAAAGTTTAATTAATCTGATTTGAAGCAAATATTACTTACAAATATTAGTTTAAAATATCATAGAAAAGCATTTTTAAAACATAAAACATACTTTTCTGAAACTTCATTTGAATAAGATTAGCTGATTTTAAAGTTTAATTACTCTGATTTGAAGCAAATATTACTTACAAATATTAGTTTAAAATATCATAGAAAAGCATTTTTAAAACATAAAACATACTTTTCTGAAACTTCATTTGAATAAGATTAGCTGATTTTAAAGTTTAATTAATCTGATTTGAAGCAAATATTACTTACAAATATTAGTTTAAAATATCATAGAAAAGCATTTTTAATACCGAGGTAGGAGTTTTTATGAGGTATGGGTAAATTTCTCGAGAGACATAAATTTGGGAAATTTTCTAAAAATTAATTGACGAATATAACGTGAGCGCCCTTTTTTTTAATATATATATATAATTTGGAACTACCCAGTAATCGTAAAAATTTATGAAAATATTCTAAGTAATCTATTTTAAATTTACTATAGTTACTGCTCTTATTTTCAGAAATTGTCATGTACAGACGTCCGTATTTACAAAAATCAGCAGGTTTATACACACAGAAAAAAATCAAAATTCTTTTTAAGATACTGCAAGTCGCTGAATTGTAGTAAGCTTTTTAATAACTACATCACCTAACTTTATAAATTCTTGTAATTAAAATATAAAAAAAATGAAAACAATTATTGTAAAAATCCATTATTCATCAAATTTTTTTCTTAAGACAATAGTGTCCATAATATATATTATTCATAAGATTTTCTCATTAGGTAAGGCCTTAGTTTTATTGCATTTTTTTTATTTTACGGTTCAGAGTAGATGATTTAAATTTTTCAATGAGTTCTGCTATTAAAAATTGTAAACTAATTTAACTAATTCAAAATTCTGCTTTTAACTAATACAAACATTAAGAGTTCTAAAAATAAATTTCTCGAAATTTCATAAAATTAAAATTTAAATGAAATACTTTAATTTCATTAAAATCCGACAATTTTTTGATTTTTACAAGAATTTCCAAATCAATGTGGTTTTTACCGCAAAAAGACGCTAAAATTTCCTCTGCTAATCTTTGGTCCCCCGCTGGCGCCAGAAAAACAAAATTTTTAATCAAAATTTTGAAGGTTCTAAAAAGGATTAAAAATATAATTTAATAATCACAGCATTTAAGTTTTGATCGCTGCATTTAAGTATTGCATTAATATTTAATCTTACTTTTTAAAAGTTCAACGATAATTCTTTTACCGCCACTTAATTTAATGACAATTTAATGTACGTAGTTTCTTACTTTCCGTACAAACAGTTATTTTTATTTCATGGGTGATTTCGCTGGATTTCTCAATTAATTTCGATTATTCCTAAATTTATTTCCAAGTTATAAAAATTGCAAAAAATCACGTAAAAAAACATCGCCGAAAACAATCGCAGTAATGAAAAATTGGGAATCCAGAATATCAGGATGACGTGTCCAGATCTGGCCCGGAATGTTCTTAATTTGCTCACGGATTTGGACTGGTTTTCAAAATGGTATATTCTGTTGAGCTACGGCCTCTACGAGTAAGGTTGAAAACATGGACAATTTGATTTTGAAACACTGTAATTTAAGAACAGTAATTATTTCATTTGAACATGAGCTATTGAAAGTTAGAGAATTGTGTTCTTTTAATTATTTTTATCAGTCGAAGACAAGATGGCGGAATCCGAAAACAATAGCAGTAATGAAAACTTGCGAATCTAGTCCGGAAGGTTTTAATTTGCTTACGGAGTCGGCCTGATTCAAAAATGGTATGATATGTTGAGCTACGGTCTCTAGGAGTAAAGTTGAAAAAGTGAGACAGTGACACACTGATATTCGCATTTATTATATATATATATATATATATATATATATATATATATATATATATATATATATATAAAACTACTGGGGTCAACACCGAGTGGCACGGTTTCTGTGTCATGCTTGAACCCAATCTTGAGGTATTGCGTTCAAGCATGAAACAAACTGTCGTCACTCAGTGTTGACCTCAGTGTCCATATTTATATATATTTTATATATATAATGGTCACACACACACACACACACACACACACACACACACACACACACACACACACACACACATATATATATATATATATATATATATAATATTGTCATCCACAGACAGACTGTTTCGCTGTATCACAGCTCATCAGTGTGGCTAGACATCCAGTTGCCTCTAGCTAGGATCAAAACCCGATTGAATTGGCGTCAGTCGGGGATTCTACCACTAAGCCGTTGGCGCACGGCAGGGATGAAGGTGAATTTTAAGTGTATTTATTTTTAGATAAACACCCAGTGACTGAGAGAACTCAATTCGATTTACCGAAGAGTCTTGCATTATTAGCCATAATAGTCACTGTTTACAAACTCACATTTCCTCCCCAGAGAGCTCAACCGAAATAAATTTTTCAGGAGCATATATATTGTCATCCACATATATAATATATATAGATATTCTTTATTTTGATTGGGATTCAAAATATTAGTACATTTTTAAAAATACGTGAAAACTACCTGCTTGAACGCAATCTTCAGGCCTGAAGGTTGAGTTCAAGTATGAAACAGACTGTCGCCACTCGATGTTGACCTCAGTGTTTTATATAAACTTATAGAACTCACCTCTTCTAGGGTGACTAGTCAATCGTTGTTGGAGGCACATTTTTCTTTCTTCAACACCCACAGGTCCTAACTGTGGTTTATACTGCAACTACCCGGAGCGGGTCTTAGTTACAGTGTCTTGGAGATACCGAATAATCTGGGGTGATTTGCAGTTTGAAAAGGACCAGTACGGTCAAACATTAGGCCACGATGTCATGTAACTTCGTGCTAGCACAGCCACTGATGGCTAATGAAAAGTTCCGTCAACCAATTTTACTCACAGTTATTTTTGTTCAATAAAAGTCAGTGAATAAAAAATGTCGTTACTTTTTCGCGCACCCTATTCTTGATATATAAAAATGTATATGGTTATTTCATATATATATATATATATATATATATATATATATATATGCAATTTATATATATATATTATTTATGTATTATATATGCTCGGTACTCATTTGAAAGCGCTCAATATCAGTGATAGAGCTAACATATTTAGTTGATTGATGTGGTTTAGACCTGGGTTTCACACTATTTTCTATTGTCTGACGATTGCAAATAGCGTGAAACTCAGGTCACAAACTCACATTAATCTAACTAACTAACTATATATATATATATATATATATATATATATATATATATATATATATATATATAATCAAGGACAACAGGGTGCGAAAAAAGTAACGACATTTTTTTATTCATTAACTTTTATTGAACAAAATAATATATACACTATACTATAGTATACTATACACTCTACTATACTATACATTATACTATGCACTCTACACATACGAAGGAAGCTCTGAAAATAATGTCTCCTATTTATTTCTTCGGAAACTAGAACAGACACAATGAACACGAGGATAATCGTTGGATATAGCAATTTTCCCGCTACAGCTAATAGTTTTTGGCCAGTCATGTAAGTTTTTGTATTTCTTCTGCGATAGTTGGCAGTTTTATATTTATTATTTGCTTGACAATTATGCATTTGTCTTTGATATCCCTTGTTTTACTACAGGTGTTCTTAGCTGTTATTATTACTGATCACTTAAAAAAATACAAAAAGCAATTATAATTATTGGTATTTATTAATTTTTTAGTACTCTGTTTTCTTTTCAGTTGACGGAAACTGGGGACCTTGGTATCCATGGCAACCCTGTTCCAAATCTTGCGGTGGTGGGGTTCGCACCCGAACACGTTCCTGTATTTATCCACCACCAGCACATGGAGGTAAAAATTGTGAGGGCAAGAGTGATGATGAAGACACCTGTAATACGAAACCTTGTCCAGGTAAAAGATACATCTACTGTTGTATAAGCAGTGGTATTTTTTTCATTAGCAATATGCGAATTATAATCGATTTGCGTGAAATGATTTATGGATATATCGGAATATATCACTATTTTTTTTAATAGACATACAAACAAGTATTGCTTTCAAATAATTGAAAAAATCATTTTTTTTAATTTTGAAAGTGCATTTTAAAAAGATTTTATGTTTTGCATATCTCTCTGTGTAGTAGCTGTCGTAGTACAGGTCTCTGTGCTACGTTTAGCAAACGAGTTTGCTAGGCCTTTCCAATGTTCGCCAGTTGTTCCCTATTTATACTTGTCTATCTAATGTGCATTCTATACTACACATTGCATTCATAATCTTTTGGTTTCGATATTGGCATAGGTTTTTCGTGAAGAATCCGACATTCTTTCGATAAAGAATAAAATAATTAGTTTTATAATTGGCTTTTTATTCATTACTTAATTTTTGCGTAATCCTTCTATATAAGAAGCCACGTGTATATGTCTTTAATATTTTTCTGTGCTAGAGTTATATCAATTGACATTTCGTATCTTAGGTTCTGAGACGTTTTGGGTTGTTTTTTGTTATATATATATATATATATATATATATATATATATATATATATATATATAACTAAGAAGCCATGTCTATGTACCTGTAATGTTTTGTATAGGGTTATTTCTCTTGCACTGGCGACAGCAGGTGGCAAAATCTTCGTTATGAAAATGGCAGACTCTTCCAAGACAAGGTCGGGATATAAAAAGACTGATTCAATGAAAGAGCAGGATACAACAGTAAGAATTGAACGATATATTTAAAGACTCATATGTGAAAAACTAATAATCGTAAGTACTGAACAAGATTGTAATGACAAAAGTACACAGGTGTAGGCTTTAAGAAAACTTTATTCAACTGAGAATAGAAAGTTCGTGTATAGTGTCCTTTTATAGTCCAAGTAAACAGAAATAGCTCTCTCAAAAAGGAGAGTAACAAAACAAGAGGAGACCACTCTTGATTATTCATAACAAAGATATCGTTTTCATATATTCCGTCAGTTTTTACGACACACGTAAACTTGTTTTTTATATAAAAGAAACGATTTCTTTCTTTTTTTTATTGCAAAATGGTGTATTTTAGAATCAAAAGAAGTGTTATGGATTCACTTCATCTTCAATGTTTTTTTTTTTATACTGGAATCCGGGAGACTATTTAAAAATGTATGAAGACACACGTAAACTTGTTTTTTTTTATATATAAAAGAAACTATTTCTTTCTTTTTTTTATTATTGCAAAATGGTGTATTTTAGAATCAAACGTGTTATGAATTCCCTTCATCTTCAATGTGTTATTTTTTTATACTGGAATCCGGGGGACTATTAAAAATGTATGAATACATTTAAAATGAACTAAGAATGACAAATAGTAATAATAAAATTAACCGTTTCCATTCAGGAATTTCTACAATTTATATTAATTATGCTATTCATATTCAGACTATTGTACTCGTATTTGGGCACCTCGGCGTGGTGTAATGGTTAGCAAGCTCTCGCTAGATCAGTTACAACTGAAAAGTGAATTCGATCCTCACCAGGTACCCCATACTTTCGGCCTTGTGCCACATCTAAGCTACGCTTAGAAAATAAAGGCACCTCGAGGCGGTGTAGCGGTTAGCAAGCTTGTCTCGCTAAAACAATTAGGACTGAGTAGTGAGTTCGATCCTCACTGGGTGATCCCTACTTTCGGCCTTGTGCCACATCTAAGCTACGCTTGGAAAATCGCTAGGGGCACCTCGAACTGGTATAATGGGTAGCAAGCTTGTCTCGCTAGAACTATTACGAATGAGTAGTGAGTTCGATCCTCACTGGATGCCCCTTACTTTCGGCCTTGTGCCACATCTAAGCTACGCTTGGAAAATCACTATTGTACTCGTATTTATTTTTGTTATCAGAACGTTTCGGCCGGTGTATATCCTCAGGTATATATCAATCTGAGTAACGAACAGGGAATTCTGAATTGAACCCTTTATTTAATCTACGAGAGTAGACTGTTCTCGTTCCAGTGCTCATGTCTAAGAATATCTCGTCTAGTTATTATTTTATTTAACGCTGTCCAGTTATTGCTCATCCGTTTTTACTGGATACACACTGCTCGAATCAAGGAATTGAACCCACAACCTCTGTGCCATCATATTCACAAAACAACACATTTACCCACTAGGAAGCGTTCGGTATTAATTAACCGAACAATTAATGTCGACTGAACTTCGTAAAATATTTTTCTTAAAACTGTTTTTTTCAGGAAATTATATATATATTTTTAAGTCCATTGTTATCGCTCTTTCTATTTTTTTAATCGTTTCAATCCAAGTAAGGAGACACTGCCACTATAACACATGGAGTTACATGGACTGAAAGTGAAGGAGAACGAGAATGAGAAAACTGAAAATGGTGGGGGGAGGACCGAGAAAAGGACAAATAATGGAACTGGGTTCAAGAAGACAAAAGATGGCGATTGACGTTGCATTCAAATGTTTGAAGATTGTAGTTATCAGGGAAGCAAGAAATCGGAAAGGAATCCTACAGGTGGGAAGTGCGAGAAAAGAAACTTTTCGAGAAGAAGTGGTGGTTGCATCGAGCTAGTTCAGCAGTAACACGGTGAGACCTAGTTGCCAATCTAGTAGCATGCTTAAATTAGTAATCGAGACACCAGGAAAAAGGGTAATATTGATGATAGTTTATTTCCAGCTCTTTTGTTTAATGTGGTATGGAAATATCTTGAGTATATCATTATTTTAGGTAGGTAAAGGGTCACTAAATGACGTTGTTGTATAGGCGTAAGAAGGTAAAGAGGGTGAGTAAAGGCAGTTTATGAGGATACGTACGATAAGTAACGGTTGACCCTAGACATGAAGAGGTTAACATTGAGGTGGTTGAGAAAGCATCTTCTCGGGAGTCTGTCCCATACAGTAGTGTCTCTTTGGAAGAAGCTGTTCGAATGGAACTTTCATCTTACCAATGGAATACGAAGAGAATGAGGATGGTTCGCACTTGTATATATGGCATGGTGGGCACTTTTTTTTTTTTTGGTAATCATTTCACCCCAAGCAATCCAATAAAGCCACTAAGACGCAATGGTGTTAGAGAATATGAGAAAAATACTATTAAGGAAAGAAAACAATAAAAGAACAAGAATTAAGAAAACAGAAAATAACGATTGGCATTGCATTCAATTTTTTAAAATCAAAGTTGACTAGGAAGGAAGAAGCCGGAAGAAAGTTCCACAAGCGAGAAGTGTGATAGAAGAAGCTGTTAGCATAGAACTTACGGTTACATCTAGACATTTCAACTGTAAAATAATGAAACCCTACCACCAGACTATTACTGCGCTTAAATTCATACTCTAGGTACCATAGTGGAAAGTTAATCAGAACAATTACCATGAAAGTATTTCTAGAAAAGGCACATGGAAGATATATTACGGTGGGAAAGGGACTGATGTCGAGATGCCAGATCAGGACCAATAACATTGCAATTTCTTCTTTGGATTTTATCAAGAATCTCTAAATATATAGCAGTCTTACCTGTAGATGTCCGAACAGGTGGAACTAGGGAAAATAGCACGTCAAAACATTTTCCATGGAAATAGCGATGGATTAGATAGACTCGCAACGTTGCATCTGTGGGGGAGAGGTTGTAGTGTTGAAAATAATTAATTGCCTACAAGGCCGCGTAAACGCTTTTGAACGCTGTCAATGTTGGAAAGTCTTCAAGTGATGTTGTTTCTGCTTATAACAATTTCACCTTTTCAGTTTTTCTCCAATTATTTTCTGTTATTTATGCCTCCTTTTTTTACTATTCCTTTTTTTCAGTGGACGGCGCCTGGAGTACTTGGACATCTTGGTCTTCATGTAGTGAAAGTTGTGGAGTTGGTACAATGAAGAGAACACGAACCTGTAGCCAGCCTCAACCTCAACACAGAGGCAAACAATGCAAAGGGTCCGCTTACATCATAAAGAAATGCGAACATAAAAGATGTCCACGTCAGTTACTTTTTCTTTAGCCATTTTTTTCTTTTTATTTCGTTTTTCTTTTTTACTTTCAAACATATTCCGCTTTAAAGAACTCATTTTTCCCGCTCAGACATATTATTTTCCTTAAAGAGGTTTGCAAGGAAGATAAAATCAAATAAATGAAAAAGACAATGAATTAATTTTTTCAATGAAAATTCAATATAAACGGCTATTCTAAAAAAAGAAAAAAAGAAGAAAAAGCATGTAATTCAAATCGGGTCTGAAAATTTCACCGTATAATGTTCGAGCTGTGTGATTAATATACAGAATCAAATGCAATAAAAAAAATCGGAACGAATGCCACAACGAAGCAGTGTATAAGAATTACAAAACATAAATGAAGTAAAATTTAGAGAGATAAGTAGTTACAAGATGAGAGTAGAGAGAAGATATTAAAACTGAATACAGCATAGCCAGACATTGGAATTTTACGATGGGTAGCTTGTTGCCCAATTCAAAAACCTAATTAATCCATTATCAAGGATAGATAGATAGATAGATAGATAGATAGATAGATAGATAGATAGATAGATAGATAATGAAAATCTATCTTATGAGATACATACTAATTGACCTATATACTGTTCCTGTCTGAATTTCTATGATGTGAAGTTAGCATTATTTACATTATTTATATTCGGACTATCATGTATATCGATCTGAGTTAACCTAGAGGGAATTCTGAACAGAACCCTTTATTTTATCTAGTGGTGTAAACTGTTCAACAGATCGTTGAAGGAATGTCGGCAAAATCGAAGCGAGGCAAACAGTCGATCAAGAAGTGACATTGAAAACTACAGATATTAAATGTTGAACGTTTAAGAAATGGTATAAATCAACCGGTTTCCACAATAAACTTAAACCAATACAATTCTTTGATGTGCCGTGTCCCTTCAAGGTGTGAACTCCCCACAACCTTCCAACCTTTGTACCTCTTAGCAATGTTTGTCGTTTTAATATCTGCCCGTACTCCCTGTTCTGTCATCCATTTACACAAGCACGTTAGGTAGGTTACTCACTGTTTCTCTCTATCTTACCTTCAATATGACCTGGGAGTATCAAATTCTCCAATCTCCTTATCTTCGTTATGCTACCCATAAATTTCAATTGTCGCCTTCTGATACTAATATAAATACCTTTTTTGCTTCTATTTTCCTTATAACTCCTTTGTTTCTCACATGCCCGTCCATTGTATTTTCAGGATTCTTCTATAGAACTACATCTCTGTTGCCCTAAGTTTCCTCTTCATCTGTGAGGAAATTGTATGGCATTCACTGAGCGCTGATATTACATAGCAGTTCAGAATTCTTTCTTTTTTTTTTTTTCTTTTTTTGTTTTTGTTTCTAAGGGAAATTTCCCGTTTTGTAATGGCGGACCGATATTACACATTTTTATTTTATTTAAAAAATAACTTTGTACTTTAACAGAAGATGGAGGCTGGTCACTTTGGAGTTCTTGGAGTCCTTGTCCCGTAACTTGCGGTCTTGGATATAGAATCAGATCTCGTATGTGCAACAGTCCCAAACCGATGTATGGCGGCAACAGTTGTAAAGGACCATATACGGAAAAACTCGATTGTCGTGGTAGAAGACCCTGTCCAGGTAAATCTAAATTTTGCATTTTAAATTCGAGAAGTTAATATGTATAACATTTTGTTATGATGCAATGATATCATAAGATTAATAATATTCTCTCATGAAACTATATTCTCCTCTTTAGATTTGTCTATTAAACTTGGCTTAGTGGAACAAAAGGCCAAAGGTCAGGGTCATATGAGTTAGGAAGAATGTACTATGAGAGCCTTCCGGATGAAGACATCTTACCACCATATCACATTGAAACATCGGTTCTCGTACGATCACTAAAGTTAAGCAACATCGAGCTTGGTTAGGTACCTAGATGGGACGACCGTTTAAGAATACCAGGTGCTGTAAGTTTGGATGTGCGGGTGGTGTAATGGATAACGGCTCGAAATTTGAAATCGGAGAGCCGAGTTTCAATTCCAATCGGGTTCATTATGCGCAAATGCTATTGGGAAAGGGATGAATTCACCTCTTCCCCAAACTATGGGTTAATTAGTAAAACTTATATCAGTAAGTCATTATTATCTAAAAAAAAAATCTACAACCTAAAAATAGTTTATAAGCTGTAAAAAAGCAAATCAATCAATCAATCCAGATGAAAATGGCCTATTTGTCCGTCTTGAAAATCATTATCTCAGATCATACTTTTGTCTCATGGCCCGCCAAAAAATACCACTATGCAGGAAACATTATCTTATTTACAATGAAAAAAAGTTGTTGTCGAAAAGCATGAGACTTTATACAAAATTATGTATGCATGCGCCATTTTATTTTATTCCGTTTTTAATTACTTATTCATATTTGTGAACCAGACAACACATAGAATGTTATTTACTAGGTTGAGTCAATTGCTTTTTCTTTTTTTCTTTTTTTTTTTTTTTTTGTAGCGTTTATTCATCACATTATATCCCATCATATTCTATTGTCTGCTGTCATCACTTTGACAGAATCTCAATTTCAGGCTTATACCATTTGGCTGGTTTAAAGGCTGGTTTAAACTCTCTGCACCTGTTTTCAACTTCATCTACATTGTTTAAACGTCGCCCGCACAGAAAATGAGCCACATCTCGGAAAAGGTGCTAATCTGATGATGCAAAGTCTGGACTGAAGGCAGGTTGAGGCAGCACTTCCAGCACCTTTTAAGTTTGCGCTTAGTCACATTGGCTGTATAATGCTGTAGGAGTGCGCACCTTCGATTGATCAATTCTGGGTAATGGTCTTTCAAAGCATCAAATGGTCGCTGCAGTTTCGAGGTCATTCATAGTATGATCATCTTGGACAAGATCAAGTGAAACATCCACTCGAAATTCCACCAAAAAACAACATGGCCTTCTGTTCAAACCGCCCTTGTTTGAGAAAAGGTTCTGAAGCCTGACCGGAACGAAGCTACTGATTTCTCTTATTAGGATTACGAAAATAGATCCATTTTCATCTCCAGTTATAATCCGACGCCAAAAAATGGCATCTTTAGGATTTGCCAGTCGGTGTTTACAAATGTTCTCAGGTCGTTGAGCTGAGAAATTTGGTCAGTTCATGAGGAACTAATCGATAGTTTCTGTTCGCAAGGACGAGCTTATGGAGGTATTGATTAATGGTGCTTTGTAAAGAACCAAGTTCTGTCGATAATTTACGAGTGATTGTGCTTGGCTTTTGTCTAACCATTTCAAGCAAGACCTCATCTTCCGTAGCAGAATGTCTTCTTACCCTTGGTTTGTCTTCGAGACTGGTGTCACCTTCCTTGAAACGTCTGAACGAGATTTGTGGCACACGTTCGTTGGCAGTTCTTTGGCCCTCTAAATCATTAATTTTGTCGACACCTTTGCACTCAATCGTTTTTTTTCCACATGTAGCGTAAAATGGCTTTAATTGCAATTTTTCCATCACTCATTATCAAAGCTGTAAGATAAAGAATCAACAATTAAGGTTTATATGTTATATACAAAAATAATGAATAAAAAATTCGGCAACGATTGGACAGCAAGTTGTATCAAATTAATAATATAACATGGAGATACAAATTTCTAGAAATCATCAATGAAAATCAGAAAAAAACAAAGCTTTTTACTCAACGTGGTATATATTGATGTCACTTATTTTAACAAGACGATCTAACTGATGAAATCCTTCACTTGTTTCAGTCAATTAACTTTTATTCCTGCCACATTTAGGATTATGTGGGTTTCTAATACTAACACACATTTTTCTTTTGTTTTTTATAAATATGCTTTTATCATTATAAATAATCAATGGAGAAATTTTATAAGGTAGTTGTATTTTTATCAACCCCCCCACACGCACAAAGAATAGCATTATATGGAATTAGTTAGGGCTTCATTGAGAAATTGGAATATTATAGTATCCGTTGTAAGAATGTGCAGTGTAAACGAGATGTTTTGGTGAAAGAGAAAATATTCGAACGGATGGATCAGTGATTGTGTTTAGTTAGTTCTGGAAAAGTGAAGACCAGTCCTCCTCCTTATTTTAGGCCATATGTCACATTTGCACATTTTTGTGTAATAAATATAAATTCACCTGTTAGGGTTCCATCTATAGGTAAATAGTAAATCCCCAAAGAAAAGTCAAAACACTAGGAAAGTATAAAAATACATTTTTATAATAAAAATACCAGCAATACATTTTTATAAAAAATGACCAACAGTACATTTTTATAGCAAAATTCAGTTAGTTATGTGCCAGATACATGACTGACGAGGCAGATTTTTTCCCGTAGTAGGTTGACATTTCTTTCTGCGGTAGACCAGTTGCCATGAATGGTCTGTCCTGTTAATCACCCATAGCTGGGGGGAGAAAACGAGGATTCATACCTTTCCCAAGGGTTTTAGCATGTAAATGGTTCGACTGGAATTCGAACTCGGGCCTCCAATTCCTCAGTCCGAGCCGCTATCCGTTACTCCACCGTGCCGTGTAAAATTACCAGCAATATATTTTTATAGCAATATATTTTATAGTAAAATGACCAACAATACATTTTTATAGTAAAATGAGAATCAGTATATTTTATTGTAAAATTGAAGACATAGCATACATTGTCAAAAAATTTTAAAATATTTGCTTTAATTAATGTCATTTTTTTTGTCTGGAGATACAAGTTTTCACTCCTTGTTTGATTTTGTAAGATTATTTGGTAAAAAAAAAACATAAAGCTAAGTAATTATAATTTAATTATGAAATAATAGCATTCTCTTGAATTAATTTTAAAGTTTGAATTTTCTTATTTAGATTTCGGCATTAAATAACCCATAGAGGTGTTGATATGCGGCTAAGAAAAAACAACCAAACTGAAATAACGGTCGTTAAATTAACGAATCTAAAAAAAAAAAAAAAAAAAAAAAAGGATTTAATTAAGCAAAGTAGAGACAGGAGAACTGCTCAAAATATTTTTCTCGACTTCATTAATTTCATGAAACAGTTCGAAGCATATGTGGATTTGGGTCAAAGAAATCGGATATAATGAAGTCCAGTTAAGAAGGAAACACTAATCATTATTTGAAAATGCTTTCTTGAAGAATTTTCCCTATTATTACCATTATTATTATTATTACAAATAATATATGTTAAGAATAATAGAAAAGCGTTAGACATGCTCTTTTTTCTTTTTTCAGTATCTATTCATGGTGGATGGTCGAATTGGAGCGAATTCGGTAGCTGTAAAGCCCCACGTTGTACAGGTATTCGGGGATTTAAATACCGGCATCGAACGTGTACGAACCCGAAACCCCGCCATTATGGCCAAACCTGTCACGGCCGATCGAACGACCGTAGAGAATGTTATAACAACTTTGAATGCCCAGGTATTTATTTTAGTCTAATGCTTCTATCCGTATTTTCGTGTTTAATTTCCAATTTGCAAGACCACATATTTTTATCCTTATCTGTTCATTTGTCGATAAGGATTTGCGTTAATAACCAGTTACAGTATTGTTGACTAATTATATGCAAACATTTCTCTTTTCAGCTTAATTAAGGGTTTATTCGCACGATTTAAATTACTTACAAAGACGTCTAAACTTATAAAGTGACGTCAAAGTAACACGTTTGAGAAAAAAAAGGTATGAGGTGGCAAAAATACATCGAAATCCAGCGACAAAATGCTTTTTACATGGATTTGATCTTATTACATTGGAAAGAAAGTCCCGTCAAAGATGAAAAAGAGACAAATGCTCTTTGGTTGTGATCGATAATTAATCCAGATAATATTTCTCCTCATTATCGATAACATAATCCCATCTACTCGGTAAATTGTTGATCCTTCGAGCATAAAATTCTTCAGATTTCGATGCAAAGCCAAACTAGGTATCATTTATTAAAATCTTCATATTTTATAATCTGATTTCCCTCTAAAAAAAAACTTCATTCCGTTAAAAAGATGACATTCAGCTGGAGCATGGAGAGGAGAGTAAGGAGGATGAAGCAGATTTTCAATATTTAGCGCCATAATCTTTTCCGTGGTGACTCGGGCAATAGGTGTTCTTGTATTTTCGTGAAAGCGCAACACGCCTTTACAATAAACCAATGACAGGCATCCTTCTGCAAATTCTAAACAATGTTACCCTGCATTAATTTTTTTCGCTTTGTTTTAGTATCCATGATAGAGAAGACCTTCGGTATCTCACCAAACGCAAAGCATTACTTTTTAACCGATCTGGAGATGGGTTCTCCCCTTTCAGTAGAGACAAACCATTGTTGATTTCGTTGGATATGATTATAGAGAAACACCTTTTACCACTTTTAAAATTAGAAAGGGAAACTTGAAATTACTAGGATATATAATTAGGAAAGAAGGTTTGGGAAATTTGATACTCACACGACCTACTGAAGTCAAGAAGGACATGGGAAACAGCTAGTAACCTAGCGAATGATCTTGTGTAAATGACCTGAGTGGCAGAAAAGGGTATGGCGAGGATAGTAAAAAGGCAACGTTGCTAAAGACTAAAAAGGAATAGGAAGTTGTAGAGAGCCATAATCGCCCACGTCCTGAAATATAGAAAAGATGATTCTACCTAGAAAAGGTTCGATAGCACGTTGGCTCTTCAATAACTAGCAGAGGCTAATTTTTGATTAAGCTGACAAGCAGATGTGCGAGACCTATTGGCTAAGCTTACACACTTTTCTTTGCTCATGTAGATGTTTTGTAATCGAAGTATGACTGACTGGACTGTGTTGTTAATTCTTATGCAGTTTGCTTAAGACTTTCCCAAACTACGGTATGTAGAAGCTCAATATCGTCCATATCGAGAGGAAGCTTCAGCAGAAAAATTCCCCGCTCAAGACTGGCCGAACATAGCATGTACAGACATTCAAAACTACTTTCCCATAGACGGGACGTATATGGTAATCCTTCACTTAAACGGCGTAAAATTCTATTCCCAGAACGGCGTAAAAACAATAAGACAAAGGTATATAACGATTTACGAAGCGTAGCTTAGCTGTGGCACTCAGTGAACTCACTCTTCTTTTTATGTGCCGTGTCCTCCCAAGGCGTAGGCGATCATGACTCTCCACAATTTCATGTTTTTTGTAGCTCCATTCATTTACTCAAGCTCACTAAGTTATGCGTTGTTTTCCTCTGTCCCTTGTCATCAATCTGTCCTGGGAGTATCAGATTTTCCAAGCTCTCTTTTCTCATTATGTGTTCTAAAAATGTCAACTTTCTCTTCCTGATATTAAGTATAAATTTCCTTTTTGTTGCCCTTTTCTCTAAAACCCAGTCACTACTCAACATATTCGGTCCATGGTATACTGAACATCCTTCTGTAGAACCGTATTTATGTTGCTTCAAGTCTTCTCTTCATCATGGAGATTATTCAACATTTACTGCGATATATATCATAAAACAGTTCAGTATTGACAGTATGACAGATATCATAAAACAGTTCAGTATTCTTTTCTTTGTCTCTAATGAAGTTTTTCTGTTTCTTAATACGCTGCTTAGCTTTTGGAAGACATCTTTGGCTATCCTAATCTGCCTTCGTACTTAATGTACTTGTTTGATTTTGGTATCTCCGATTTGCAATTCGCTAACAACCATGCATTCTGTCTTCTCGCAGTTGACGTTTAATCCTTTCTCGCTTTTCTTCACTATCTTCTATAGGAATTTTTGTAAGTTTCTTTCTGTATTTGCTATCATCACTGTGTCATCTACATACCTTGTGATGTTGAGACTGTGGGCGCCAATAATGACTCTTAGTAAGACTTCTAGTTCTCTCAGAGACGGCTCGCTAGAAAGGTTGAATACGCCCAGTCAGAAGATACATCCTTGTCTTACAGCCCTTTCTATTTTTATATATCCGCTGAACCTATTTTCTATTATCCGTATGCAGGCGGTTTGCTGCCAGTATAGACTCTTGATTATTCCAATATCCTTCCCAAATATGTTAAGGTTGCTGAGCAGTTTCAAAAGATCTTTATGGTGTACTTTATCGAACGCCTTTGCGTAACACAGTCATAACTGATGTAGCAAGACAAACTTGCTGACCATTACACCACATCGAAGTTCCTAAAGACCAAGGTATATGCGTTTATTACAATTAAACATTTTTACAGCGGGTAATAGTGGACTACGCAGCATATAAATCCGGAAAACGCGAGACTGCTCTTGTATCGCAGGATCCACAAAATGCTGCTGGTGAATAAGGACGACATGACAGTATATCCTCTGGTTGATTTCCCCAATTTCAGCATAAAAAGCCCAGCCATCTGAAAGAATATGGCTTCCAGGTTGAATATACCACACAATCGTCTCTTTCAGAGTCTCTGCTCGCCGATACAGCACCTCAAGAAACATTCCTCCGAACCTTGCTCGATACCATGAAATACCCAATGACCATTGGAAAAGATTATATTTACGTTGAAAAAGATATAAAATATTTTACGCCATTTAAGAAAAGCATAACTTTGATAAATTATTTTATGCCGCTTAAATGAAGGATTACCACGAATATTTCTTGCCACTTCCCTTGATGAAATCATACAGAATACAGTCTCTGGTAGGCGTTTGACCTAAACTCATTTTGATAGGATAAAATAAATACAAAATTTACCAACTTTGATATTAAGTAATCGGCAAAGAAGAAAAAATGTTAGAATTTAAAAATTGCAATTTTGCTGTATTTAAAAAAAGACGTCAAAGTAAGCAATAATGAGGCAGCACTTTTTAACCTAATAAAAACTTTTGTCAGAAAAAAAGAGAAACACTTTTTTCTTACGATTATTTGCATATAATTTGTGTATTGAAGCTTGTAATTAGTTACAGTTACCTATACACATATAAAGGGCTGTATGTGTGTGCATGTCCGTCTAAAACTAAAAAAAACTACAGTAATTCGTGAAAAAATAAAGTTATATACAAGCTCATTATCACCAAAGTCAGCTTTTTGTAAAAAATTATCTTCGTATGATTTGTATTTACGAAGATATTTTAAAATTAAAATAAATTAGAATGCATTCGAAATTCTCAGAATTAAAAAGTAAAAACGATAGTAATTCCTATTCTCGAATTGGATTTCTATTCGTTTTACTTTTTTATTCTGTTAAACGCTATGCAAGTATGTATACTCTAAAATTTCTATTCTATTGAATTTATTTTCACATCTATAGTAAATAAAAGCGTAATTTTAAAAAATGAATATTAAAACAACAAAGTAAATTTAAAAGAAGAATACTAAATACAATTATTTGACAAAATTTTAATACTTATTTATTCAAATATTCGTTTGTGAGTGTGTGTGTGTGGTGGTATCCGGCTAAAACTTAAAAACTACAATAATTAACGTGTGTGTGTATTATTATAGTTTTCGGCCATCTTATGGAAAATATTTTTATTCAATCTTTAAAATATAAATTTCATTGTTTATCGGTTTGTAACTAACATAAAAAAGTAAATGATTTTTAATTAAGTTTTATTAAAGCAAAAAAAAATAGCGATTGTTATTTTTTCGAAAATTAATTTAAATAAAATAAAACAAATATTCAACACGACTAATGTTGGCCGGAAGTCATGTTTGTCTCTGCTAATTTTTTTCTTTACAAATACAAGTATAACTTGAAATTTAAACATAATAGCTTTTCAAAACTAAATTCTCAATGTATCTTGCTTATAAATTCAAGAGGATAGAAATTTTTAAAATACCTACATGTGTAAGGTTTCGGTAATTCTAATTTGAAATAAGAATTATTACTGTTCGTTTTTACTTTTTAATTCTGACAATTTCGAATGCATTCTAATACATTTTAATTTTAAAATATCTTCGTAGATACAAATCTTACGATGATAATTTTTTTACAAAAAGCTAGCTTGGATGATAATGAGTCTGGATATGTATTTACTTTGTCGTAATTATTGTAGCTTGTTAGTTTTAGCCGGACACACACACACACATACAGACAACTGCCCTTTATATATGTATAGATAGATGGCTGAAAAATATCTGTAAATTATCAATAATAAACTATTATTCAGATATCTTACGAGCAACAATCAATAAATTGTGGAAAAATAAGGTAACGACAAAAAACCCGCAAAATATCAAACAAAGAAAATTAAATGAATAAAATATTTTCTCAAAACTTTAAGAAATTTTTTTACAAAATTGAATGGATAAATCAAAACTTTCGCCATTTTTTTGTTACACTTTTGATATTTATAGAGCAATAAAAACGCCCCTTTTGTATATTGTCAATTAGAATTTTATTTATTTATTTATTTTTTTACATTTTGTAATATTTTTTTAACGTAAGGATCCACCGGATACATTGCAAAACTTACAGAAAATTACATAATATAAATAATATGTTCATTTATGTATATTCTTACCGTAAGTAAATTTGCAAAACATAATCTAAGCGGTCAAAGAATCAAAGCTTGTAATAATAATAATAATAATAATAATAATAATAATAATAATAATTGGCCTTCAAAGATACCTAAAAATTACAGAAGACAGGATGATGATCTGTGTCAAAGAACATGAAAGTGGTAAGCTACTTTATTCAGTAGAAACCCAAAAAGTTTAAAATGGAGTTTCAAGTCGGTGAAGAAATACAAATAAAGCATAATACAACGAATGAAGCTGCAAAATACTTAAAAAAAAGAAAGCAAAGGCAAATGCAACCGACCATATACAGAAACGATGGTAAAATAAACCGCTTCACGATCAATACTCTGCCCGTACCAAACAAGCTGATGTAGACAAACCCCTTACCCATCAGTGGTTACGTAGTGCAGAGGTGAAAGCTGAAACTGAAGGTTTTATTCTTGCTGCACAGGAACAATTCTTGCTAACTAGAAATTACCAAACACACATGCTGAAAAACTGTGTTAGTCCAAAATGCAGATTCTGTGATAAATATCCAGAAACAAGTGACCATCTTGTATCAGATTGCGCGGTATTGGCACACACTGAATATAAAACACGGCACAGCAGAGTAGGCCAGAAACCAAAAGAAATAAAACAACAACAACAATAATAAATGACTCAGTGCTACACAAGGCATGGCTCTTACGGTTTCTGATCTTAATAGATTAGAGGTGTTAAAATGTACATAAATTAAGATGGGCTACAGTAAATATCCCGTTCAGTACCAGATATTTGTTTGATATTTGTTTAACCAGTTGGCTATGTCCCCTGAGGACCGACGCACCATGCAACTCTGTTCATGAGCGTGAGTAGTCAGGGAGTATGTTACCCAGGTTTCGAGAGTTTTTTTTTTTTTTTTTTTTTTTTTAGTTAGAAGAATGAGTCAAGAGTGAGATATTTATTAAAACCTTCAATCGGAGACCAACTGAGCAGACTGAGTTACCCGACCTGAAAGTATTTCTAACTAGGCCTAACCTGCAAGGTTAGGTGCTGCTTTTATCAGAACCTGTTACCGTATCACGCATATTTGGCTGTGGTGCATACGGCCAGTGTTACCCTTTATCCGACTGGTGTCATGCTGGGTATATTGGGTTTCGTATGTTTGTATCCCAGTGTTAATTTGTTGACATCCTGCTCTCTGAATCAATAATAATAATAATAAAAAGCATTATTCTCAATTTTGAAGGACATTTCAAGGAAAAGTCGGTCTCATGAGCCATCTCAGTCCACAAACTCAACTGACTGAGGCAAACATCATCATCGACCTCGAGGGATAGCCACGATCCCAGTTTTACTAATGTTGGCGTACTGCTCTCTGAATCAATAATAAGCAAGGAGAAGATATGTTATCCTCATAGACCAAGAGACGAAGGGAAGAAAGAAAAAGAGAAGAATGAAAAAGAAACAAAGAAAAAAGAAGGGAAGAGAGCAAAGAACAAGAGAAGAACAAATGACAAGAAACAAAGAAAACAAAGATAAAGAGACGTTGAAAACAGAACAAAAGAGGAGAACAAAGAAAAAGAAAACAAAAAAAAGACGAAAAGAACAAAGAAAAATAGACGAAAAGTACAAAGAGACGAAGAGAACAAAGAGACGAAGAGAACAAAGAGACGAAGAGAACAAAGAAAATGTGACAAAGAGAACAAAGATACGAAGAGAACGGAGACAAAGAGTCGAATAACTGGTAAATGTTGAATGTTGCTCTGTTAGCAGAATATTAAGGGAATCTAAAAGAAATTGGGAATCAGGAAAAATACAGAAACCTTGTAAAAGAACCGAAGAAACTTTGGAACATGAAAATGACAACTGCAGCCGTTATGACAGTTCCGAAAAAGTAGGCGGAATTGGAAATCCGAGTAAAGAATTAAAACCATCTATGCAAATTAACAAAAATACTGAAAAGAGTGTAGGGGGTACTGAGAAGATTTGTTGTCACTCAACCCCAGAAATTATTCAAATCATATTAATCCTCCCTTTTTCATAAAATGCCCTGAAATTGTTAGAATTTCTCATTTTTTTTTTTTAATTTTTTATTTCTAGTGGATGGTAACTGGTGTATTTGGTCTCCGTGGAGCGCTTGCTCGCACCGTAACTGCCGTCGGTCGGATGCTGTCGAGAGGCGAACACGTGAATGTTCATGTCCAAAACCTCAATTTAAAGGATCTCCTTGTCCTCAAGGTAAGAACAATACAATTTCTTACTGTATAAGCTTATGGTTTTCTCTGACATTATGCATATAAATTTTCAAGGTGGATTAGATATTTACTAAGCTCTGCTTAGTCTGGCACAAGGACTTACGTGTAGTGCACTCCCTGAAGATCGCAGACTTCTTTACTTGATCATTACTGCTGAATAGTAAGTTCCATCCTCACTGAGTGCCCCATATATGTGGCCATGAGCAAATCTAAGCTACGTTTAGCATTTTAAAGAGCCTTAAAGTAGCATTATGGTTAACGAATTATTGCTGCCCATTAATATTGATACTCGGTGGGCTCCTCGTATTTGTGAACTTGAACCAAGTAAAGCTAAGCTTAGTAAATAACAACTGCTTCTCAGCCTTTTTGTCTCCGGGGCGGAGATTAACCACTCTATTGTGTGAAATACCTCCACGGTCTTTTGGGCAATAGTAGAGGTTTATCCTTTGTTTTCTGCTTAGAATTGGGTTTCCGGTTCCTTTTAAATTGTTCTCATTCACTTTCACTCCCAGTAGCCCTTTGCGTCTTTGTAGCATTATCGCCTTGCTTGGTTTAAATCAATTAAAAGAAATATAATATCCCAGGTTGAATATTTCCTATTGCACTTAGAAGAGGTCAGTCAAGGTTAATATCCTGATACCAAAGTTGTCCGAAAAATGTTAAGTGCCAAGAAAAACTGAACAATTTTTGTTATTAATCCTGTGTACGTGTCGGACTCCTAATTTAAATCTGGTCACGATCCGTACCCGATATGTTAATAGTGTGATGGTTATCCGCGGGGTGAGTGAAATCGGTAAGCTGGGTTCAAGTTCTTACCGAATCTATTTAATTTGCTTTGCACTAATACCATTGGAAAAGGCATGATTCTATTTTTCTACGTTCCATTCCAGGACAGATTAGATTTAATTGCTTTGTGCAGCAACCAGTCCAGAAGGCAAACTTTGATTTCAAATTTTCGTAAATAATAGGGTAGACTGTCCAGAAAAAAAACAGCCTGTAAAGGGATAGGCCACAGTCAATTTGTTTTGCCTTAGACACACTACTGCTGCTATGACTGTGGTTTCCTTAAGATCTTAAAGGTTTACAAGACTTATGATCGTGACGTGCCATATTCTGTTCAGTTTGACTTACGGAAAAAAACCTCAGCAAACTACGGCACCTATCTATGGTCGTTTTTTCAATGAGTTTTCATAAATAAAGAGTGATGGGTGCATCGTAGCACGATGATTAGCAAGCTCAACTCGCTGGCCAATTCACAAGTGTAAGTAGTTTTATATTTATTGAATGAAAATACGGTTTATTTTACAGACAAGGTATTATTTTATTGGAATAAGCTGCATGTGCATGTGAAATGTGTGGTAAATGTATATACGTTTAAAACAAATTTTGATGAATTCCGTGAGATTGGCATGAGAAGTGCACTTTGTGGACAATATATGAAGCTATCGGAGGAAATCACCACATTCTGTCGTCTTGAACCCCGGTAATCTTTTATCCTTTCCTCAATCACTCCTATAACCAGTTTATACTCACACTTTCACTTTCAAATTAAAATGCATTAGAATGCATTCGAAATTCTCAGAGTTAAAAAGTAAAAACAAACGATAGTAATTCTTATTCTCGAATTGGATTACCATTCGTTTTTACTTCTTTATTTTTCTAAACGTTACACAAATATGTATTTTAAAAATTTCTATTCTACTGAATTTATTTTCACATCTATAGTAAATAAAAGCCTAACTTTAAAAATGAATATTAAAACAACAAAGTAGATTTAAAAGAAGAAGAATATTAAATACAATTATTTGACAAAAAGTTTAATATTTATTTATTCAAATATTCGTTTGTGAGTGTGTGTGTGTGTATGTGGTGTCCGGCTAAAACTTAAAAACTACAATAATTAACGTGTGTGTGTATTATTGATTTACTAATAGTTTTCGGCCATCTTATGGAAAATATTTTTATTCAATCTTTAAAAAATAAACTTCATTGTTTTTTGATTTGTTACTAACATAAAAAAGTAAATGATTTCCAATTAAGTTTTATCAAAGCAAAGAACTATAGCCACTGTTATTTTTTCGAAAATTAATTTGAATAAAATAAAACAAATATTCAACACGACTAATGTTGGCCGTAAGTCATGTTTGTCTCTGCTATTTTTTATTTAACCCCCAGCGTACTAATGGTATTCCGCCTTGCTTGAGGTGAACCGATTAAAAAAATGTTCAAAAGAATATAAAAGCACAAACTGGATACCATACTGAATTTTGTTAAAGACAAAATAGATTTCTTTAAGCTGATTTTAAGTTTTTTGAAGGGCAAAGTGGAAAATAGTTTTTAAGTGTTTTTTGTAGTTTTTGAACAATTGCTATATAGTTGATGTTTCTCTTTTTCAAGAGTCGAAAGCTTGGAACCATATTACTTTTTTTCTTTCGAAATGAACTTTGAACAATTCTTGAATGTCCCCTTTGATGAGTATTATTCGTCATTTAGAAAAGACGACCATTACAACTAATCGACATCAAATGTCTCTTGCTTTCAATAGCTTTCGCCTTAAAGAACATTTGATGCATAAATACGCAGAATATATATATATATATATATATATATATATATAATATAATATAATATAATATAATATAATATAATATAAAAGGATGTAACACTGGCCTTTTATATTATATTCTTACTCTGTCCTGGACATTCAGTTCTACCTGGATTCTATTCTCTTGGGAATTTATATATATATATATATATATATATATATATATACTCGTCGGGTACAAATAGCTTACTTTGGCATTAGTATATCAAGCAATAAGCTATATCTTGTGCCCGAAGAGTTGGGTAACCAACGAAACTTAAGTCGCACATCAAACGTAGGTATATGTGTATTTATTAATATATATTCCTTAGCTCTGTCTAATCATATTGAGCACTATTATGTCTACACCTCTTGGCTAAATTTGGTAATTATTTATTTGCTTACCAACATATGCATGCCAGCACGCGCGTATACGGTCGCTAATATCTAGTTATTTCATTTACCTAACCCTATACAAACATGCACACACACACACACACACACACACACACACACACACACACACACACACACACACACACACATATATATATATATATATGGGAGAATATGATATATAAATTTCTATATATTAGGACAATGTCAAGCAATTGAATAACAAAGTGGAAAAAACAGTGATTTTCAACCGGTATGAGAGGATCGTAGGTGTGCCGCAAAATTTTTTAAAGGTCATTAATTAAATTATATTCAAAAGAAGTCTAAATCACAATAAGTGTACATGTCAAAATTAAAACCCCTTTGAATTGGTTTTACGAGTATATCATTGTTATAATAAAATAAATGTATGAAAGTGGGTGGGGTGTGCCAAATGAGGTCACGCGGCACGTCCATAAATGGCGCGATTTGACAAGGACTTAACGATATGTCAAACTCATCCAAAGTCGATTTCGGCAATGACTCAGCAACCCCTCATTGTGTATTGAATTGTGCCCGAAATAGTGAGGGCGTCGAGCTGGTACTGAACGCATTTTTTATTTATTTGTATTATATTGCGTTTAATTAAAATTGACAAGTTTTTAATTAAGAAATAAAAATTAGAAGACGACGCAAAGAAGATATTCTAAAAAACCGTCAAGCCCAGATTCATTGTTAAATCAAAATAAACAGAAAAATAAATAAATAGAAGGTTTTTTTTTAATTTGAAATATCTTTTTATTAAAAATTGTAATAAATTGTTTTATAAATATATAATAAAAATGATCTTTTTTACTCTTTTTTTATCATCATATTTAAATGTACTGCGGAAGTTTAACTACAGGTATGCCGTGAGATAAAAAAAAGGTTGAAAATCATTGCTCTATAAGGACTTCATCTGACTAAACTAATGTTTTTATTTATGGAATTATATATGTATATGAGGTTATGTTAACATGAGTGCTGGTTATAATTATATATTGAGGAGGAACGCTGAAGATGTGAAAACGCTGAAGATGAGGAAACCCTGAATTTAAAAATTTATTTTTTTCCCAATGAAACACTGATCATCTGCTGTGTATTCGGGATCCATTTTTCGAAACAAATCTCTGGATACACTTGCACGTAACTAAAACATCAGTGATTTTCTCTTGGTAATTCGGAGTAGGATTAAATGGGAAAAGAATATACGAGAATCTACTTGAACAATATAAACAAAGGTTGTCGATAAATTCAAAGCAAAGTTCATTAATTTGGGTTGAGGAATGCTAAAATCGTTGTGTTTTTGTAAGGTAGGGGTACAAACTATCTTAACTGAAAAATATACAGAAAACTTAATTTTCACGAGTTAAAGGCATAACTTTAAACTTAAAAGAAGCAAAACTCAGACGCCTTTTCTCAGACAGACAACTGAATAGATCTTTTTATTTAAAGAAGAAAGAAAAAAGATAAATTCACTGTTTCCTGATTTTTTTCCCCACAGGTCCTGCTTGGGAGACACGAAATTGCTCATCACGTCCTTATTGTGATCAAACTGGTAAGTAAATCACACACACACACACACACACACACACACACACACACACACACACACACACACATATATATATATATATATATATATATATATATATATATATATATATATATATATATATATATGCATGTTTCATTAAAAACGACAGACAAGGTACTACGGTTACGCTTTTTATTTAATTTTTCTTGTGATCGAACAAGAGCTTTCTTTTCTGGACAAAGACTATGTAAAAACTGTTCAAATGTTTTATATTTCCGAGCGCTTTCGGCTATACCTTTAGCCGTTATCAAGGATGATTCGATTTTTCAGCTTAATTGAGTGTGTGTGTGCATTATGTGTATGTCATAGTGTGTGGTAGGGATGTTTTAATTTCCGAATACGGCTAGCACATTGTGGCCTTGTTCGTAGTTAATATTGTTAAGAGTTGTTTTTTTTTTCTTTTTTATTATTAAAGCTTCCATTATTTTTAATCTTTTTTTTACAGGTGGATGCACTTAATATATTTGTGTTTTCTACTAGTAGAGTGGGTCCTAGTACTTTTTTACCGTTCCATCGGTTATCATCCGTAAGCAGGCTAAGATGTATATTTATATATATATATATTTACAGTCTGTCGTCTATGTAATATAGCGTGACGTATTGTCATATGACTAATATATGAGTAAGATTATAAACACTTAATCACGAAAGTGTTATTGTTGAAGAAATCTTGTTAATGGATAGGCCTTTTCCTTTAATGTACCAAGCTTCCACTAGTTGTAATATATTGTTGTTATTTGAGTAGTGCAAAATTATAGTATTGTCTTCGAAGATCTGGCGTAAATTATCAAAGACATTATAAAGATGTTTCATTTGATAACAAATTGTACTCTGTTAAGAAAGATATCAAGTAAGTCGGCGAGAGAGTGATATGGTTGTCGTCGATGGAGCAGCGCGGGCTGCCCAGACGTCTAGTTCCCCCTCTCGGCCTTGCTAGCAGAGTCCAAAGGAGAGGATAAACCAATACGCAAAAGTTGCCGGAAGGTAGTACAAAGTGCCGTCCATCCGCCTTAGGGGCTCCACTCCGGGTTTGAATTCAGAATTGTCCTTCACCTAGACCAGTTGTCATCCCAGGCTAGAGAACCCAGTCTGTCCTGCTATTTACCCATAGCTGGAGGGAGAAGAAGATTCACACCTATCCCAAGAGTATTAGCGCGTAAGTGAATGTAATGGATTCGACTGGAATTCGAACTCGGCTCTCCGATTCCTCAATCCATTACTCCACCGTGCCTCCTCCGTGATATGGTAGTAAGACCAGTACATATAGAGACGTTTTTTTTAGTCATTATCGGGGTTACTGTACCCTACTGGAGATTTAAATTGCTATATAAGATAGGATTTTTGTATAGAAGATTTTTTAAGAAGTGTTCTTGGTAATAATAAGGTTGAATATTTTAAACGGTTTATTATAGATAATGATTATTAGCAGTTAGCAATAGCCTTTATATATATTATAATCTTACCGATGTGACCTCCATCTTCTGGCTTTCTCGTCCTATATTTTGAATAGGAGTCAATCCCTTGTTCAAATTTAAATTTAATTTAAATCAAACGGAAAAAAAATTTAGGGTGTGAGACGGGGACACCCTTCGGCCAAAATGAAATATACCTATCCAAGTACCCTAGAAGTAATTGCCTTATTCAAATTTAAATCTAATTTAAATCAAAGGGGAAAAAATCAGTGGGCGGTAGCCACCTTTGGTCAAAATGAAATCTACTTATCCAAGTACCCTAGGAGTTATTCCCTTGTTCAAGTTTAAATTTCATTTATATCAAAAGGAAGAAAAATTTTCAGTGGGTGAGAGGGTGCCCCCCGCCCAGGGACCCTCTTTGATCAAAATGAAATATTAGGGAGTTCGATAACAAACAGACAGACAAAGGCTACATCTTTATATATATATATATATAGAGAGAGAGAGATAGATAGATAGATAGATAGATAGATAGATAGATAGATAGATAGATAGATTATATATTAAATGTTTAATTCTTTTCGTGTCTTTCATGTAGGGAGAGTGTATGATTTGTTTATTGACATTAAGATTAGGGATGACTTTTTTTGCAAAGTGTTTGTTTAATATTTTATAATTCTTTGTAAAAGGTTATTTTAGAGTAGTTTATATTATTCTTCAATTTAAAAGAAAAAACGAACATTTGAGAATAACTCCGCCTACTTTTTACTTATAAACTCAATATTAATAATAGAATTCCTTTTTGTTGCCGCTAAATATCATATTTTTACTACTTTATCATATAAAACCCTATTTTTAGTACTTTACCATATAAAAACTTGTGTCTTTTCAACTTCAAAGGTGAATGTCCTCTATTGCTGATACTACTGCTAAATTGAGCACCCCCCCTTACGCGAGCCACCTTGTTCCTCCAGCTCTCACCGTCTTGGCATAGCATCGGAACATCCTACAACGCGAGTTTAATCTGATGGAGGTCCTGGCGGGCGACGTTCTTCCAGCGGTTGCGTAGTCTGCTGCGAGATCGTCGCCAGTTTGCAGATGGCGGGTTGAACTGGTAGATGACTTTGATAAGGCCGTTCTCAGGTCGTCGCAAGAAGTGAACGAGCCAGCGAACATGGCACTGAGCGAAGATTCAGTCGATGTTCGGCTGGACGGTGACGTTGTAAACTTGAAGGTTGGTGCATCGGGAGATGTTGCGATGCCGCAATCAGAGGTCTCTCACAACACCTACAGTCAGCTCTCGTCTTTTGTTGATCTTCGTGAGAAGTTCGGCGGTTTTGGAAAGTCCTCACAGATGCAAAATAGCTTTATAAAAGTAAATCCATAATTAACTGTGTAAAAATAAACCCTTCTTCGAACACATTATTTTATAAAAAATTAAGCAACATAAATGAAACTTTTATCAACAATAACTTTCTTAACCATGACGCCGAATAACAAACGAAGTTAGCCTTAACGAAACTCAGAAAAAATAACACAAGCCACCACACTGATATAAACAAAAAAAAAAAAAAAAAAAAAGACAAAAAAAAACCCATATCATTAAATTAGTCTATCGTAACCGGATTATACTCTAATTAAAAACAAGACGAAAAAGTCATTAAAAATATAATTGGCCGGTAGATATCGCTTAACGAACCGAATAAATACCTTAGATTTATAATTTACTAAAAAAAATGTTTAAAACTCTGGACCTCAAAAATATCCCCTTTTTAAAATATAACGTCGTTTATGACTCCTCGTGTCATCCGGGAGATTGAATCTCCGATATCAATAGTAAAAAAAAAAAAGAGCATTCAATTGGCTATACATGCATCACACTCTCTTGTAATTTTACATGTCGAAATGCACATAAGGCATCGAAATAAGAATGCATATTTGCTGTGGATAATTGTTTTTGTCCGCATGTAAAAATCTATAAAAGAACAGACAAGGTCTACCCGTTTAATTTTTTATTGTATTTTTCCAATTTTCGGATGTTTAGAGTATTGTGCTCGAAAAAATTGAAAAATAGACAAGAAAAAATTGATTAATTTTTTATTTATTTTTTTCCAACATTTTTCGTATTGTCCATTGTCCTAAGCTCTCTCGGTCACTTCTTTACCCATTTTCAAAGGGTGGGGGATGTTAGGCGTTTTAATTCCCTTTCATGTTTGACTCTTCGAGAATTTTTTTTTTTTTCTTGTGTGTGTGTGTGTGTGTGTGTGTGTGTGTGTGCATTGTTTCGATTACTCGTAGGAGCGTTTATTCCGAGCCTTCGAAAGTTGAGCGCGGCTGGAATTTAATCCCTAAATAAATAATATTTTATGTACGTAGTGTCTTCGTCTATTGCATTCAAACACACGCGCCTGCTCACACATAGACACATGTATGGGCAAGAGTAAGGAAAAGAGAAAGAGAGGATCAAATTAAATAATCTTTTTCTTAGTAAAGAAAAATAGTAAAAAAAAATAAACCTTCCTCATCAACAGACAACACAATATATAATTTTCTAATGTCACACATAATTCACCTATGGCAGGAGATTCAGAACGTGTCTTGTTGAAAATAGCGTTGTGTGCTGAGACACGATCATTTGAATTGCGTTGGAAATGGTTGATCACGAGCCCCATTGAGGGGGAAATTTATTGTGTAGACAGATTTTTTTACAATCGAACTCATGATTCTAGAATAATTTTCAATGTAAATTTTTATTCGTTTTTTTTTTCCTTAATTTGTTCTGATTGTTTTAATGTTTCTATAGTTAATATTTTTTTCGATTTTCACACGCTAACAATCTCAATTCGTTTGATTTAATAAAAACCGTTCGAAAGAGAACTTGCTATTAAAACATTCAAAATTATACAAATGCGTGTGTGTAGGAAGAGAAAGAGGAACAGTATTATTCAACGATAATTCTTCTGTCGCAACTTAATTTAAAAACAATTTGATGTACGTATATCCTTACTTTCCGTACAAACAATTGTTTTTATTTCTCTCGATTTCGCAATTAATTTCGATTATTCCCAAGTTTATTTCTAAGTTACGAAAACTGTTATCGGACAAAAACTCCGTCGCAAAAAATCACGTAAAAAAAATCGCCGGAAACAATCGCAATAATGAAAAGTTGTGAATCTAAAATTACAGGATTGCGGATCCGGATTCGGCCTGGAATAATTCTAATTTGATAACAGAGTCGGTGTGAATCTAAAATGATATATGTTAGGCTACGACCTCTAAGAATAAAGCTGAAAACACGGATAATTTTATTTTGAAAAACTGTAATTTGAGAACATTAATTTTTTCATTTGAACATGAACTATTAAAAATTAGAGTTGTGTACCTTTAATTGTTTTTTAATTGTTTTTATCAGTAGAAACAAAGGTGGCGGAATCCGAAAACAGTTGCAGTAATGAAATCTTGGGAATATTTTTACTTTGATCACGGAGTCGACCTGATTCGAAAATGGTATGATATATTGGGCTACGGACTCTAGAAGTAAAGTTGAAAATGTATGACACAGTGACACACTGACATTCACATTTATTTTATAGATATATATACATATGCAAAACGGAACGGGATGTAGATCCACGATCCCTGTCGTGGAACATATCTTCTAAGATGTATCGAATGCGCAGGCCGATAGACATAATACAAACTGTTTAACAAATAAAAATGGACTGTCTATTTCAAATACGAAGTATCCACTTCAATATATAAAGAATGAATGGATTAGTTATACGCCATTATTCCCAACTATTCCAAATGTTCATTTGTGGCTACCCATGGTAAAGTAGACTTCATATATTTTTAAACGGTGTGGATTACGTCTAACTGCTCTGTGCTTCGAGAGACTTAATAAAGTAAATGTTCTCTCCGGCAAGGTTCGGTGGTTTCTCCTACAAAGGGGGAGGCAGGTTCGAACCCTGCCAGAGAGCACATTCTTGAACCTTTCTTGATTTATTCAGTATACATACAAATAGATAGATAGATAGATAAGAAAAGACAGAGAGAGCTTGAAATAAATTCAGTTTTTTTTATTATTATTTTCCTTTTTTATTTATTCTAGAAACAACAACAATTTCAACGACGCTGCCAAGCAAGGAAGCTATTTCAAATAAAAAGGAAAAGGAAACTTCAAAAGCAGAAACGTCCATTACCTGTAAAAACTGCACGACGGTAAGTGAACTGCATCCTTCCTAATGAATTCTGATGCAGTATAAGCTTGCACTCCAATTATCCTTGCCACGTCGCCTCTTCAGCGATCCTTGAATTTTTCTGCTTCATTTTTCTCTAAATATTGGTTTAGCTAAAAAGATCTTTAAGTTTATTAAGTAAATACGAGAGAAATGTATTTTCTTTAATATATGTAAATGTTTTGTAACGCGATTTTCTGTCGTTTCTCGGCTAGCAATTTCATCTCAGAACGTTTTATCCTTCTGAACAAAGAACTGTTGTAGGTGCTTTTCGCATTCTTCCCGTAAATGAGAATTTTTTTTTTATTCAAAAAATTCTATAAAGACCAGAATAAGCGCTCATCCAAAGGTTCAATATCTGGTGCATCGAGCAGATAAATGAAAACTTCTCAAAGAAGCTGTAACTTGTTATCAAATAAATAAGTCTTGACAAACGATTTTAATCAGCTGCTGCTTTCAGTTGAGATAAAGCAGAACGGAGCTTGTTTAAATCAATGGTTTACATATCCTATCGTTAGGGATGGGGGCTTATTATAAATCAAGTAAAGACATAAATATAGCGTCATTTCTTATATATTTATTGATTTTTATCTAAAATGAAACTGATCATTTCAGTGGAATTTCTTTCATCGAACAAGCTTAAAGTTTGTATTTAGAAGGTTATCTCCTTGATTAGCGACGGTGTTTTTAAATTAACACTTGAAATTTATTTACGGATGTAAAATCACTGAAAGTACCATCTTAATTGTTTGCTAATTCTTTATTAAGCTTTAAATATGAAGCCTACGTGAATTCTCAATAGCAACATGACACCATTTTCTTTTCAAACATTATTTTTATAATGTGTTCATAATTAAAACTGTTTTTATAGTAACAAAATTTAATTGTATTTTCCAGTTTGCTATTACGGACATCACCAGTCCAGAAGACAGATACAATTCCACGGTGTATAACACGCTACCATAAACCTCGTGATCAGCAGCCAGCCAATTATTTGTATTTCCTTTTTTTTTTTTTTTTCTTCCCATTCATATCGTACCAGACTCGTTTTCTCTTTTTTCCCTTCACACGGGAAACAGACTCAGTATTGACGTTTGTTTATTATCTGATTATAAATATGGCCGACAGCGGCATCAACAGATCCAGTTGCTATGACAACATGTTGGTATTTTCATAACTTTTTTTGTTCTGATTGCGAGTGCAACAAAGTCTAATCTAAACTCGATACTTAATGCTGTCTATAAACACCATTTCCTGCAGGCGATTCTTAACTTGGAATTTGTTCTTGTCATATAAAGATTAATTATTGGAGTCAATTTTTTACTATCTTTTGTGGTAACAAAGCCACTTTTTAACGAACAAATCTCCAATTATCTTCACAGGAATTATAGGCATCATCGCAGCAAAATTGTGCCGCAACATTCCGTCCGACTGGTGGAAAATGAATGAACCATTCATTAATTTTAGTTTAGTGTTTCTTTCATCTTAATTTCAGTTGCTTTCAATCGCAATTTTTGGTTTGGCTGTCATTCTACAGTCATGACCGAACAGTGCAGCTCGGAAAAAAAGAGAAAAAATTATTTGAAAAGATTATTTGAAGAAGAAAAAATATTTGATTTTATTGTTTTGTTTATATACGCTCGTTGTAACATTATCTTATATTTTTTATTATTACTTTTTTATTTTCATTATATGAAGAGCACATCAACCATTTCTGTTTTTGAATAGTGTTTTCTTTTTAAATTTGTATTGTTTTTATCACAATTACGTAACTCCTAGTCCTAAAATAATAATGTTTGACAATGCTTCTAATAACACAAATTCAATATTACTACTAATACTATTAGTATATGTAAGCAAAATAATAACATCAAATATGACGGCACTGGGCGATCTGGAAAAAAGTAAAGAACATTTGTCCGACGCAAAAGGGAGGTTTCAAAAAAGGGTGTTTCACGGAGAATATATTCTTTATTTCCGATCGATGCCATTTGCTAATGAACGATTGCCGAAAGAGTTGCAATGAAAAGTAATTGAAATTAAGATGAAAAGAAATATTCGTGTAAAATTAATACTGGTTAACAGTAAATAAAAAAAAAAACTTACTGAAACTAGTGAATTTTGAAAATTCTACGTTTTGTATGATCAAGACTGGTTTGAAACGGAACCAAAATAAATTACCTACTTTTGCAGCCAGCCATGCGTTTGTAAAATCCCGAATACCCAGTGGTTGTAGTGTTATTTATATTTACCTACATTTGCGAGTTTTTGTTTTGCGTCGATGTTCGAATCTTAATAAAGGTCAGATTTTTAATACCAGATGTTATAAGGATAACTTAATTTCACACCGTTGGAGTGGAACTATACAAACTTCTAAACACACAACAACAATAAAATTCAGAACAAAATCCGATACAGAAATATAACGTTTTCGAAAGTTTATATATCCTGCAACATATACTTACATAGACTTATAAAATAGTAATGCTATATGCGCAAAACTATATAACTCAATGTATATTAAGACAAACAGAATTTCTGCCAATAAAGTGCTCAAAACTTATTTAGAGCAATAATTATTGTCTTCTCTGATGAACCAGGAATCAAGAAACTGCAAGTTCACCCCGATAAGTATTGTGAGCTTAAATTACTTTTGTTACAATATATATATATATATATATATATATATATATATATATATATATATATATATATATAGTTTTAAAGTATGCTATATTTATGGGTAAAAGTGATAAAGCGAATGTAAATATAAAAGTGGACACTGTACAACAGCAAGCGGTGACAGTCTTCAGCGCAATAAAGAAGATTGTGTTGAAGCATAATACAGACATTCACCGCTTGGTGTTGACCTCAGCAAGCGGATGTTACAAATGCTGTCACGACTCACAAGTCCTGCGCATGACTATGTTTTACTCACGCTGCAGGAAAGCATCTTCTTTTGGCGGCCTCTCCTCGAAAACTGCCCTCTGTCAAAACCAGACCTCACTGACTGGTCGTTAAGGGTTACATAACCGGCCAAGTGTGGTGCATGTTAACTTGGGGAGCGGGAGGAAAATTTAACCCGACATTACAAAAACGATTCTAAAGTCATTTATATTTGTAACTTGGAATTTCGGTGTACTTTTAAAAGTATGTTATACTTTGTCACTATGAACTTCTGTTGGGTGATTACAAACAATATAAGATTATGGAGATCTTTTTTTGTTTTCTTCTTTTGTAATTATTTCTCTTTAATATCCATGTGCAACAGTTGATGCAGGCCACGCTTAACACATTTCTATTTACCTTTCATTGTATATATATCAACCATTGGTTATATAACTGTGTACTTCATTTGAAACATTGATTTCAGTATATTCAGTAAACTCAACTGATTGTTTACAAGAAAGAAAAATGTCATTTAACGATGTCATATCAAGGGAGATAATTCCCGAATAAAAGATTTTTTCCAGTGGTTTGTCATTTCGTGTTTGTTGACGTTTGCGACGATGTCAGACCGAAAAGAGTTTATCTGAGAGTCGCAGTAAAATGCAAATGATATAACAACGATGTAGATGACGTTGTATAGACATTCTGTGATCACTTTGAATAAGAATGAATATTTGCCGAATATCTTACAGGGTATCTATATAAATAAAACGCAGTGTACGTGTGTCCGTCTGTTTTCGATCTGAGCGAATTTTAGACAAACTGAAGTAAGAGGTAGTCAATATACTGTAGTTACACGTGATTAAAAATTAAATAACTTATTTAAAGTTAAATTTAAATATCAAACAGAGCGAAAGGTTTAAAAAAACAATTCTTTATTAAAGGTTTAATTTTAATTTCGCTTTTCGTAATTGCAATGATATCGTCTAATTAAACCTTAATTAAAACTTAAGAGAGGCACGGTACGTTGCTCATATGGTTTTTTTCCTTCTTCTCGCACGTGCGTACAGTGACGTATTCGAAATATTACATAGTACCGGTTCCCTACTGTCTTTTGAGAGTTACTTTATGTGAAGGGATCATAAAGAATCGTGACTTTACACAAAATAAAAATTGTGCGCAAAATAAATGTAAACAAATTACGGAGATCGGTTGCGTATACGAAGAAGCATTATAACAAATTAAAGTGTCGAATAAAGATAAAATAATTTTATTATTACTAAATTCTTAAAACTTTTACGTACATGGGATGTTGTAGGTAAAAGGCCGAAGGCTCAAAAACCATCCGCAGGAGCCTAAAGTACACCCGAAGGGCGCCTTCTAAGCTAGTATATAAAAACAGTTTTATCCAGCAGCCATCTTTGTTTTATTTTCTAATTATTTATATTTCAGAGTTCTTTCCAGTTTTCATCAATTTTAACGCAAATTTTCTACGGTTTGTAATTCAGAGTTTTCCTTCTGCTAGGTTGGTTGCCTGAAGAGGAGAGTTTTATCATTTAATCCATTGCTATGGGAAGAAGTTGTGGGTTTATACTTTTCCAAAGAGTATTTACGCGTAAGTTTAAGTAACGAACTCGACTGGAATTTGAACTCTTAACGTTCTTTTTATAGATACAAGTATTTAAGTAAATGCTCTGTTTATAATAAACAGTATTAAATAACATTTACCGGCCTGAATGTCCGAGAAATTTTCATAGACAATATTCGTTCTTTGACAGGATTCGAACCTGCATTAATCATATATATTAAGAAATATTTGTCCATTTCTTAATATATGACGTCATTTGTTTACATTTGATACGCCATGAGCAGTTATGAATGTACGAGATTCATGGAAGATTGAAGTTTATAAGCAGTAAATTCAACCTTGCCAACCGAACGATCCTTTGTGGCCGAGCGGTCAAGGCACGTCAGCGTAAATGACGGTTCCGTATAGGATGCAGGTTCGAATCCTGTCAAAGGACGAATATTTTCTAAGAAAATTTCTCGGACATTCAGGCCGGTAAATGTTATTTAATACTGTTTATTATAAACAGAGCATTTACTTAAATACTTGTATCTATAAAAAGAACGTTAAACATAAAAATGTCTTTAATAAATGTATATTTTATTAGCAACCTTTCTTTCGAGCATCTTACGGCCGATAAGGAAGATTCAATTAATTTTTTATTAAGTATTTCCAGCATCCTAACATTTTCCGTTTTGTAGGCATTAAGGATTATAAAAATTGCCCATAATTATTTAATAGGGGAAATGAAGTGCTGAAAGTTTTTTAAAATAAAAAATAGAAAGATGCTCATGCAAATTCCAGTCGCGCGGCAGGTGAGAGCTTGGAATGAACGCTTCTTTTTTCAAAAAACAGCATAAATATGATTTACAATGTAACAGTTAAAACATGAAGCAAAAATAACAATACCAGAGACAAAACACCCTTGAAAATAGCTTCTTTTGTTCTCGCTCCTTAGTAATGTTTCTGTTTCTAATTCTTACACACCCAGTAACCCCTTGTGTCTTAGTGGCTTTAATACCTCGATTAGAGTGAACTTGATTATATATATATATATATATATATATATATATGTGTGTGTGTGTGTGTGTGTGTGTGTGTGTGTGTGTGTGTGTGTGTGTGTGTGTATTTAGGCAGCAAATTCTCTTTTAGCCATGCCTGATTGAATGAATTACAAACATTATGTCTTCTTATTTTTATCATAATCCTTTCATATTCATGAATATTTTTCCGTATATTGCAATCAAATGAGGTAAGAAATGCACTGTAACAGTGAAAATCACTTTTATTTCCCAAGTACTTTCCATCTCTTTCTAGAATCATCCTCAGGGGTGCAACTGGTAAGGCAAAAACTATGTGTATCCATTCATTACTGAATTTTTTCTTTTGTGTTTAAATGCAACGGCTAACAGTTATGCTTTAGCGTTCATTAGAACGTGAAAAGTTATCCATTATGAAATTTTTTTCTTTTATGTTGGAATGTCATGGTCGAGCGCGCATTAAAGCATAA